GATAGTATGCCTAGACTGGTAAACGTCCTCGCTTCCCTTATCGTTATGCTAGATTCCAGGAAAACTAGGGAAAAGTGACAATTGTGGAGTATCAAAGTACAATCAGTTATGAGCAGATCCCAAATATTCTACGTAGTGTAAAGAATACACAGAAAATTACTACACAGATTTTTATTGGACAGTAGTTTTATCCATCTGCTCTTTGAGTATATCTTGTATTTAACTTTCAATTAGGTATCTTGTAACCATGATTTATGTTCCTTACTCATCATTATTTGAATTTAGTTAATGTTTACTTTTACTATTAATATTTTGCCACAATTTAACACGAATCACTCCAAGAAGTTTTGTATACCACACAGAAGAACTGAGTTTAGATTAACCGAACTAACCTTTGTTCGTAATCCGTCTGTTCTGACCGAATGTGGGAAATTCGGTGGTTAAGTTTTGTATGTAACAAGTAACTAAATTCTCCGAACCTTAATCTGCGAGACCGTATTGTTTTGTGCCATTCAACCAGAGGATAGGTCTATCTATTCTTATGTGTATCAGGCCAAATGGATCATTTATACTATTCTAATTCGGCCAAGTATCTTGTGGCCTTTTGGAGGCATAAGTATTCTAATGTTTGCCGTGTTTCACTCTGATATATATGTGCTTTTTTCAGATATCAGAAGTGGACTTTGAAATTTCTCTTGCATGCACCAGCCTATTATCGTCCGTCTGCCTAAACGCGCATTCAAAAGATGTGCTAGAAAGATAAGTTTATATTCGATTTATTTTATTCCGTTGACAACAATGAGGACTGGCCAAATATATGTGAAACTAAAGGTCTGAATTCCAATAGCGGCATTCATTCACCAATTGAGGATCGAAAAAGCATATCGTTCACAACTCAAGGCTTCCCAAAATCTTGTTAATACTACAGTGTCTACAATATTAGGAACGAATCATCGTCCTTATCCTACTCGAAATTGTGAGCACCGTAAAGGCGTCTAAATAGTGTGCTGAAAGGTTGCTTAGAACTATGTAAATGACTAACTGTTCTGTCCAAAAGCCGCTCACATACTTTTAAGACACTGTCAAGCCTCATCATTTAGTGCATAACTTCCAGTAGTTAGCGTGATAGAACGTCACCTGATTCGGGTTGCATGAAACTCGTACAACGTCCATAATTTCGTAAGTTCCTTATTACTAATCATCAGTTCACTGCTTTCACTTGCATTGCATTGGGACATCATTGATTTCATCTCGTTATCCACTTTCCCATTTGTCACTAAAATACTTCCACACTTTCTCGTTTACTTTATTAATAATCTTCCGTCGCTACATCCTACTGCATACAGTTTCTTCGAAAAAACCCACCTCTCACCAAAAAAGTTACAATATTGCACTGAAGTCTAACCCATAGTTCATAAAATTTGGCAGCCAAGTAAACTTGTTTCTGAACAGGATGCAAAATATAGATCTCTGAGTCAAACATCATGTTTTATTTTGCAACTACTTGAAATTACCCTGAAAACACACAAAAGCAATGAAGGTGGAGTTAATAACCGGCAAACATTGTCGTTGAGTGCGATGACTTCAATCTACTCACGTGTGAGGCAGAATATTTTGTTTCCTTCTGGCTCCTGTTGAATCATAGGGTGACTAAACGGTGATACTGAATTTGCACTTGTACACTTGCTTCTCCCAAAACTCATGTTTCTTATTCGATGCTGGGTTCGCTATTCTGTCGAAATGATCCTCAATATGCTTCTTAGGGTTTTACAGTATGATTTACAGGTTGGCATTTGAAGAAAAGTGATAGACAGTCAACAGCATAGTTATCAGTAGTCCCCTCAAAATTTACTCTTCTTCCTGGACCTTGGGGTATATTGTACAGATATTCAGCCTATTACTACAGCTTCTCTTTATTTCTAACTCTATCCACCTTCATACGCGTCGCAAATCATCGTTCCTTATTTTTGTACTCCTTAATTAGGAAACTATCTTACAATGATAGATTTTAATTCTGGCAGTCTGTATGTATTTAATCTGCTGAATTACCATTACATTTTCTGTTACACTATGAGCGGTCAACATTCTCTGGTTATATATCTGGTTGTCTTGTTGCTAGATTCTTTGTCTGAGAGAGAAAATGACCTAAAATTCTCACAATGCTCAGAAACAAACTCACCATGTGAGACAAAATCATCTTCAGTTTTTTCGACAGTCTTAAGACAGTTTATGGCAAATAAAATGAAGAACACTTTGTAGTGAAAATGTCTATTATCTTTATGCCACATTATTGAAAAAAAGTCATTGAGCTATTTTGGCAAGATGCAGACTGGATACTACCCACCAGGTTTTTGAAGAGCTTCAGTAACTGCAAATGTAACTCCCTATGTAAAGACAGTCCTTACAGTAGCCCTGGAATCAACTCATAATTCACAGTGTTTCTGAGGCTCCTCTGTTAAGAAGAAACACAGATCTCGTTCATCAGGTCCAGAGGTATTAAACTAGATGTATTATAGAGCAGAGATGTAAATTTTACAATACAGATTCCGTCAATAGTGTCATTCTTTCTGGAGCATAGAGGAACTAAAGGAGTTTCGGCGATGCAATACATTATTCTAAGTAGATCAGGTCAGCTCGGAACGTTGACCACATTCCGCCAAGGTAGCCTTTAGAAGAATTGCACTTCAAAGATATACAAATCACTTATTCTGTCATCCTTAACCATTCAGGATCATACGTGTTTGAAATACCCTCTCAATCAAACGGACCACAAAACTCTCAAAGAAAAGCCTTTTGAGAGAACTTACTAAACACAAAACTACATATTCGATTATCATCCCACTCATGGATTATCTGTGACTGATGCACGACCGATACAACTTACCTACTGTTAGAATTCTCGTTGATTCGTTCTTATCTCATCTTTTATCATCTGCGCTTCCTTGTTTGTTTTTATATATCGATCTCCTCACATTGTCTGCAAAGCCACGAAATAAACTTACTTTCAAATGCCCTCAAGCGGTTATTTTGTTTAATTATTCGAAATGGTTGTTTAATAAGTCGCATAAATGAAATATGCTATACTACAGAACTGGTTTTTTTAAGTAGCACTTTACACTGTCTCATCAACAGCAATTATACAACGGAAAATAACTGTTAGTACCTACAGCAATTATGATTTTAAATACCTCAGAGTCTGTCAACAGTACGGAATAGTTGATGAACGTAAGAAAAGGAAATGAAAACGTTACCAAATTCACTAATTTTATTTGATATTTCAGTGTTCGAGGTAAGCTTGCTGGAAAGTAGGACAGTCTGTGATAAGATACAGAACAGCAGATACTGAGCACTGCTTAGCATGAGCAGTAAGCCGGATTTAAAAATAAGAACAAAGGTTAATCCACTTTGCTGAGGGTGAATTTGCACCCATCAGAAATTACTGAAGAAATTCTTTTAGAATCTAAGAGACCTTCAGTTCAGGTGCAACAAAACCTGCTTAGTACGAGCAGCTGCTAAAACATCATCAGGCACCTGAGCTGGTTAATGGTAGCTTGGATGAAGCTCATAGACACGGTACGTTACTATGGCGGTGGCTATCATGTAGGGTAAAACTTTACATCACCATACTAATTTGCGTTTCTTGGCTGTTTAATCTATTAAACTTTAAGACTATCACGGGTTTAAGAAAGGCAAGCCCTGATCATTTAATCTTTGCGTAACATGAGAAAACCGTGCGGAATGCTGGGACCGGTAATGCCGAGTCAAATCGAACTCCTTGACATCATGAAGACCTCTGACTCAGTACATCACGTTCTTGCAGAGGTGGAACCTACTGATTCAATTCTATATTGGCTCAGAATTTACCTAGACAGCAGAAGTATCGTACTCAGGTAAATAAACAGCGTGTGAGCAAGGGTGCTTCACATTCAAAATTTTCACATTAAACCACATAAGATCCACTCCTCCTCCTGATATTCATTAATCACCGAATAAATAAAATAAGCTCAGCGACAGTGTTCCATGCAGACCAGGCATAATTGTAGAGGCCTATAAAAAGCAAAGAAGATTCAACTAAGTTTCAATAGAACCTTACAACAAGAGATTAATAGGCAATGGACAGAGGAATGAAACTTAACATTTACGTCGTGAACATTTTGTCTATGCGACTCAAACAACTGACGACCCCACTGGAAATTCGCTTTATGATAAAATTGGCAAATACATACCAACATGCAGATATTCATCTCACACTAGGACCAACTTTGCCTGACGCATGCCTCGAAAACTGTTTGTTGTTAGCACTGTCATTTCCTTTGATCACTAGCTTATTTGATATTGCTTGCCACCATTTCTATCTCCCTTTCAATCTCTAGACTTCAGTCATCTTGGTTCTAAAGTTTTCCTTTCTTCATTAGTATTACAACTGCATCCTCATTAGTCCCCACACTTCAGCTAAAAGAGTTCTAGGCTGGTAATGTGAAAGATGCTGGTACCCAGAAACCCTACCGCCCTAAGACACACGTACTCAATCTAATAACGAGACATACAAACTCATAAACAACTACAAAATGACTTGAATTAGTTCAGTTAAGTGACCAGACTACTATCTATTGGACATTGTTAAATACCTAGAACCATTCCGAGAAAATCAAGAAGAGGATGTAAAGAAGTCAAAAGGCTTACAGTAGCTCGTGGGAAAGGTATTGGATATTCTCCACATTGCAAATAACTCATATATAGCCCGGTAATATGATAGCTTCTGGTAACCAGAAACTCTACCGCCCTTAAACAAACATATTCATTCAAATCAAATGACATACAAACTCACAAACAACTGACAACTGACTAGAATTAGACAGTCGAGTGGCTAGACTCTCATTCATTGGACAAGGCAAAACACCTGTGTCCAGCCAGAAGGAACAAGAACCGAGCGCAAAAAATCAATCCGTTTATATTAGTTCTTGAAAAAGTTATTGGATATTGGACATTTGGTACTATGCCGACCGCTTACGCCGTGTACTTTTGAAATTTGGGCACAATGTATGGTTCTAATTTAATGGATGCAGTTGAGAATAATCACGCAGTTCATGACAGTGTTAGTTCTGAACAAACTCTGGGTACTTTGTTTGATTTTTTAAATGTGCATTTTGCAAACCGTTATTAGATATAGATACAAGCTTGAACATGACAGATCATAAAGATCGGAATGATGGTTGTGATGAACATCCCAAAAAATTAAATGGTCAGTTTTTTCAAAATAAAGATAATACTTTTTCAGTATCGAATAATTTGTATTCTTACCGTATATCAATATTTTTGTAGAACAAATGGATTTCGCTGGACTTAAAACAGAGCACAAAATTTCCTGCCTAAACACAACATCCCAAGAAGCAATTTCTCCTGCATGGGTGTTTGGGTTCAATCATTCTGTTCCACTCATAAACTTGAGTGATGATCAATCGAGCGTCGTCTTTTATGTGTCTGCTCATTTATTGATATTGTTTGACATAAAAAACAATCGACAGAAAATTTTAAGGGGACACGTAAGAAAACAATCAGAAAACATAATACGTTATTTATTAAATTAGTGCAACGAAGTAATGAGCATAACGTGTAGTGGTAATAAACGTTGGTTGGCTTCAGGTGATCGTGGTATTGATAATACCGTCATAGTATGGGATGTAAAAACTGGGGAGGCAGTTCGGACAATTAGAAAACCTCATGAACATGGTGTATTATCGATTGCTCTTACCAAAGACGCCCGTTATCTGGCTACACTAAGTGCTGATCCCTTTGACCAGAGTTTCGCTATTTGGAACTGGACTACTGGAAGTAATTCGCCCCACTGTCACGCAAAGATAAGCGGTGAAATGTCTTTTCAGACAAAAATAACGTTTAACTCAGATAACTATTTCCATCTCTCCACGACTGGAGATCATCAAGTTATTTTTTACTCCTGGGTAATTAATGAACTCTTCAAATCATCTTCTATAGAATAATGAAGAAAAAAACATGGTGGCCTATGCCCCTTCCCTTAAAGATGAGGATTTTAAACAGAAGATCGGTCAGTTTTCCTGCACTCTGTACATTCCTAATAAATATATTGCCATAACTGGTACTTCAACTGGCCTTTTGGTTATATGGGAATCAGACAAACAACCATCTAAAGGTAAAAATTTTCATAATCTCACTGTCTCACAGTTTATGTTGTATTGTATCCTACCTCTAGAGAAGAACTAGCCACTTTAGTTATGAGGTAAAAATATGCTAAACTTTTACATTAAGAGTAGGAGATAAGTGTTCATAATTAAGAAAAGTTTGTTTCTATAATGCGTGAATAATTGTTTGATTTTGAACGGCGGTAGTGTAGGGAAAGAAACTGTCACACCTTTAGTGCAGTTTAACATAATTTACTGTCTGCGTAAACACCATTCGTGATCATGGTGACCATTGCGCTTCTTAAGCTTCTAAAAGTATAGAATATAGATTTCTTAACTGTTCAGTTCCTGACCAAGTAAGATGATCATAACTTTATTTGCCAACCACATTTTCATAGACAGTGTTCATTTGTATGAGTTCCATAAGTGAGGCATAACAGCGTTATTCTGTTACTTTGAGAAATAAAAAAATATTTTAGACGAACAGCGTCTAGGGTTTAAGAAAGGTTTGTCTAATCTCCATTACTTCGAAAGTAATTTAATCTACTAACAACGGTTTAAATGGTTGCTTCTTAGTTTATATTGACAGATGGAAAGTTATAAACTAGTTACTCTTATTTGGGAAAGCTATAACTACCTCAGAATTGTTCGGTTTTGAAAGTGCCTGGAACTGGTACAAGAGTAATATGTGTTTGGAACGTCCTAAGTTATATGGAGAGGCCGCCGAATGTGCATAATCTCTTAGAAATTTTATAACACGTTCTTTATACATTATTTTGGTTATCTGCTTAGATGCGTCCTCCGTACCAGGTTATCTTATCTATACTCATAGAACGCTAAGCGGAACTATTTTGGTCACTCAGTTGTTTTATGAATTGTTCAGCTGTCAACATTATACCTCAAACATTGAAAAATTAGTCGTTCTGCTAATTTTATCTTACTACTTGTATGTTGAGTGTGTTCTCACTCATAGGCTAGATTTCTTCATTTCATAGACAGGTGTGAATGCCAACTTAATTTAGAAGCAGGGTAATAACTTCTGTCCTATTTCATTTGATATTAAGTTGAAACAAGACTGAACAATCACCGAATGCTAAGCCGCCCCCCAATTTAAGGAACGGTTCCGAAAAACGAGTTTTCAGCAATGTTTCTTATAAAAAAGCTATGATTGCTAACTAAATTTAGTGACATACTGAAATGATATTGAAGTCTTTCCAACCATCGGGACTCCAAACTGCATTCACTCAGTGTTATCAAAAGACCCTTATCAGCATTGTCACACTGGAAGACAGTCTAACTCTCTTCTCGATCGGCTATAAAATTTTCGTCTACCTTTTGCTTATTTGTTGATGTCAGAATCATTAAACTCATAATTATGATTTTGATAACATGCTTATAAGCCATATAAGAAGAAATTGCTTAATATTGGCACCTCACTTAATAGGTGCTGATAAGAATCTTCTCTCGTAATTGCATATTTATGCAACAGATCCCATTCTGTTATGTGCACATCAGTATTGTTCATCATTTCATTCTTATGAAATTGAATGCATTTCTGTTTTTATGTATATCAGATTTACCATTTTATGTCATATTTTGATGAAGTCTTTGATCTTATTTTTATTGCTACTGGCTTAACTGTATATTAAACGTTTGGTAAAATAATGGAATGATCAGCACAAAGTATTTCAACAAGTTTCGTCCACAAAAGAAAAAAATAATCCGTAACTGTATATGTATGCATATGAAATAAGTAAATCAACTATTATTGATTTGCAGTGCTTTTAAATAAAACGAGAATCTGTACAGCTTGTTAACTAGCAACATGTTTCGAAATTCAATTGACTAATCAAATCAAATGATGTAAAAAACCGTATCGTTGGTTGCATTATTAGTGGACTTTAGCTACTAAATCATGATTTGGTTCGAAGCATAAATTTCTAGAGATCAATGAGCTTCTCGTTGATTCATATCCTTCAGCATTTAGCAACCAAGGGTCAAAGAAGACCATCCAATTTACTGTTCTGTCTAAAATGAAACTGGTACCTAGCTGAAGTTATTTTAGTAGAATAAGGGTATTTCCTAATGTAACATTTTATTTCGTTAAGTGATTCTGCATTCAGCAAACTTCGGAAAGCAAATATTTAATTATCCTTGCCTAGGTGCGTTAGAAGGCTTGTTACATGGCAGAAAAATAAAGGTTTTTGATAACCGTAAGCATGGACAAAGTTTCTTATCTTTTTGCCTTAATTTATAAAGCAATCATTTCCCAGGAAAATGTTCCGCTTAAATGTTAAGTTTAAATCACATTTGGTTTTATCATATGTTTAATCCAAAAGGTGATGGCACTGACTGGATGCTGTTTTTATCAGTTCGGCACCAAAATAATTTCATTTTTTACTATTATTCATATGTTGACCTCATAGTCAATTACTTACATTTCAAAAAGAAATGAATGAGATATTATTCATATCCATAGTATGTAAGCAGTTAGTTGAGTGCCATATACATTTGACTCTGGTGTTTGTTTATTATTGCTTATCGATAAAACGTATGTACATTATCTAGAAAGGCAATCATTTGGAAATTACTATGACAGTCGAACACCAATATTATATTTTCTCCTTCTTATAGTAACCTTTTACAGTAGTGTTGATGCTTTTTAAGTTGAATGCTTGAAGATAATCTCCAAAAACACCTTGAACTTTTATCAGCAACAAAGAGTGTCCCCTTTCTTTAGGAAATTGTTACTTCCAGTTAAATTTAATCAGCAGTAAGAATCAGACTAACATACAAATGACCTACTCTTGCTGATTACGAAAGTCTGTACTTTAAATTATTCTTCTGGTTGATGAGTATTTTCCTGCTAAATATTCAATGCTTATTTCATGCTTATGTATAAAGTTGTGAAATTCATAGAAACAATAATTTTACTGGTGACTAACATATAATCTGCACCAAATTTAAAACATATATTACTTATGCGTGCTATATTATCTTATCTCCTTTCAAAGTTTTACTTTGTCTAGTTTTTAATATCATGATATTATGTAAATATTATTCCAACTGTTTCATTTCATTAGGAGAAAATTCAGAAACACCATATAAACGAGCATCAAAACTGATACCATTACATGAGAAAGGAATAACTTTTGTTACAATTACCGACTGGTACGTTATTGATTAAAATTATTATTATGACTGAATTACTTTACTAATATGAAGTTAATTATTATTGGCGAACAGAGAGTTTCAAGTACTTTTACAAACCAGAGTGACCTTTTGAATTGAAGCTATGGATTTTATAAGACCCAGTACATATAAACCCATTATTAACTATCATACTAAGTGAAGATTCTATGACATTCATATTCATTGTTCAAACTACTCAATACACAAATTCAAATTGCAATTTTTTTAAAAAGTGAATGCGATAGTTTTGTGTTTAAAATCTTATCACATAACTTTCACTCTATAACAATTTAAAGCCTTTATGGAATGATAAAAAAGTCACTAATAACTTAAAAAATTTAATTTTTATTTTACCAAAGTAATTCAATTTTTTTTCTAACCTGAATTATTGGTCTATTTCAGTCATCCTTGTGGGAAATGTATTGTTACCGGGGATTCTGGTGGAAGGGTCAAATTTTTGGATGATAATTTCATGCTTTTATTCTGGTATGATGATCTTAAATGTGGACCGGTTAACTGTGTTAGTTTTGCTACAACTAGTCTTTTTACAGAGTGAGTGATGCGTGTTTTATTAATGTGCTTCAAAATAGTCACAAGTTTTGTCTGAAATCAGGTATTTGCTCATTATTTATAATTTATTGTAACTTATTTTGGATAAATATGTGATTGTTTTAAGTTGTGTTATAGCTGTTGAATTGGGTTGATCAAATAATAATAATATGAATCATTTTAATGAGACAATTAATTTAGCCTAAAAGACCTAGGCATCCGAGTGTTGTAATTTCTTCATTCATTAAGTTTGCAGTTTTTATTCATCTCATATATAGGTCTAGACACGTAATAACAGGTATGGCAGTGATGCATTTCAAGATTTCGAGATTAGAAAATAACTGGAAAGAGTTCCGAAATGGTAGTGGGGGTTTATCCACCGATCGAGATGATAGTTACTTTTCTTAGTTAAAGTTAAAACGGATTTCAGGAACTAAAATTTTCTCTCAATGAGTTAATGACATGTGATTCGATCATCTCAACTATAGTCTACAATCTACATTTATCTTTGTAAAGTAATTAGGGCTAATGATTCTTGACAGCATAAAAATAAATAACTGCTTAGAATCGATATATAAAATCTATTTACAATACTCATCGAGTTATCTCAGCGAAATGTAGATTCTAACTTGATGATTAACAGCTTTCCTTTATCAGTATACAGTTGGAGAGATAGTTGAACTTCACTGGAATCGTGAAGTGATCAGTCTTAGAGTACTACTGAAGACCGTTTGTTCTTAGTTTTGGACTCCTCAACAGTAGGAATCCTCAGCCTTTTGAGTTGGAATCGAACACAGGACCTTTGATCTCGTACACGAATACGTTACCTCTTGACTACTGAGCAGGCATCCAACGGTGTTAACGTTTAGCTTCAACCAAACCGTGATGTTGTCAAGCACGTGGTAGCGGAGAGTTAGTGAATGGTGATATTGAAATACAAATGTCTTAAATTATTATACACTAATAACTGTTGTAAACTTTGACTGTTTGCTGAATATACAATAGGTGTGTGGTAACTTGTTTGCAATGATTAAAATAAAAAGTTTTAAAGCCGAAATTCTAAGTCTCCTCCTTTTTCTGTAACGATTACTCTAGAAAAAACCAACCAAGTTTTATTGAATCAGTGAAAGGAAAAGATTATCCTACTTGTGCAACAATTACGGCTGAACCATTTATCGTGGAAGATTTCATAGTTAGTACATCAAATGCAGCCATGATTTCTGTGAAAGTTGAGGGTGGATTTCAAAAGGTTTGTCTTTGATAACATACGACTCGATTGTGCATACATTTTGATATAAATGACATGAAATGTTATTGTGAACAGTTGGAAATAGTGAATTTCTGTCATATGGAAGTACAGCAGTTAGCTATCAATGGGAGAAGTGCTACCATTGGATTCTTATTGAGTATTCTAAAATTACCTTATCCGTCACAAGACCTGAGGGTTGTAGAATCTTGTATATGAACAACTGAAGAGCCCTAAACAGTTTTCCGGTGTCCTCTTATATAAATGAATAGTCACTTGATATTAGTTACAAAATACAATTTCGACCAAAAGGTAGCTAATTGTTTGAAAGTTATCAGCTAGCGAAATAAAAATGCATTGTATCCAAAGATACATTTTTAGTGAGCAAACTAAGAAATAACGCAGTAACATAATTTTGCTGGAAATCTGAGAAAAGTTTGATAGGAATAAATATTAGGAATGTTGGAGTCGTTGTAAAAGGATTATAGCAGTCAGCAGATATATCCACATAAAAATAATTAATCAATCTATCAAACATAAGTCAGTCAATTACACGGTTGAAGATCAGGCGAACAAAACATTCAGTGTGAACAAAATTACACCTGTGAACAGCAATGCTTCTGAGAACAGTCTATCATGGACAAGATCATCGAAACTAACTGATTTTAAACATGTGTTCATGCTGTTTTCCACTTGGAATTGAGGTTAATGCTGCTTTTTAAGGAGAAAATGACAGCAATCTAACTAAACTATTTATTTTGGAGTGCGAAGTACAACCGAAACCCTGATATATAAATATATTATTTCATTATATTCAATATAATGGGACGAATGGAGCATAAGTATAACTTTTAGGACTATCGTGTGGTGGGCTGTTTTCCATATTTTTGCTGCATAATTAGTAGACACTTGGACCATTGTATTTTTGTATTCGTCAGTATAGGCTTGTGGAGATTTCTGAATTTCATTGAAATCTCGAACCAGCCAAAGTTAAACAACAACGGAAATTATGAAAGCACTGAACGGCTGCTCTTTTCTACTACGCAGCTCCTCAACGATGGGCATCCATGACCTTGCAAGCGGAAGTTAAACCGAGGACCTTTAGTCTAGTGTACAGACGCTTAACTTGTAAGCCTCGTGGACGAGGCCTAACGGTGTACAGATCTAACTTTATTCAGTCCGTGATAGTGTACGACTATCGTACATTGTCTTTGGTGGTTACTTTCTCATACCGGACATAGCTTAATGGTAATGGGTTCGGTTACTAATTCAGAATCGTAAATTGGCACTGCTGAGGAGTCCTGTGCTACAGTGGCGTCAAAAGCTTCCAGATTTTTACTAGTTTTTAACTTTGTTTCTTACATTCTCATATTTATAAGCTTTTGTTTAATCTGAGGATCGTTGTCATAATACCTCTTGGTCAGTTGGTCCATTTTTAAACATGATTTGGACGTTGAATCAACAATAAGATTTTTATTAATCGTGTTTGGATATCTATTATTGCTCAACCGGTTTTAAAGGAAAACCACTTAGATTTACTAAGTAGTGATTCGTTTTTAGCCAGTAATTCTTCTAGGTAAAATACTTAATAGTCTCAACATGTTTAATTTCAAGTATTCTTACTCGAACTATTTTTCTCAGTCAACCAGTCGTAAATCCAACGAGTAATTAAAAGGTGACATCCTAAGCACTATTAGTGCGTGGCTTCCTTAACCAACTAAATCATTTACTTAACTGATTATCTCGTTCATACTAAATAACTAGCCCAAATTATAGTATATAAGGTAACTTTAATAGTAGACATTTCAGTTAATTGTTTACGTAAGTGAATACTATTTAGAATAATAGAATAATGGGAGTCACATGTACATGAGGAATTTATTATAGCACTTTTGGTTTATTTTTAGATAATTCTAAGAGATCATGATTCAGATGTCAATGGACTGACTACACATCCAGTAATGTAAGTGAACTAAATATTCATCTTAATAAATCAGTTTGGTTTAATAATGTTCTGTAATTTTTCCTAAACAGCATTTACAATAATTGAATAATCAAAACTTGAAAAAGATTATAATATTTTCGCCTAAAATATTCAATCACCTTAAATTATGTGAGGAGCCTAGGAGGAAAACTCAAAGATATTTAACAAATAAACATTGAAAATGGTTTTTTGCTAAGATATATTGTGAATTAACTAAAGTTGAAAATATAAGCCACATAGAACTTCGACTTAGTCGTTCCTTCACAAGGCATAAATGTTTTATACTCGAGCTGGTATGACCTCATGACTGTGAGTCCCAAATTGGTGATAAACCAGCTTTTGGCTGCTTTGTATTTTTTTGAAGTCTTTAGTTTAACTGTGATGCTTTCATTCTCCTTCTAGACAACAACAGCGTTTAGTTTTTATATAAAAGTGAGTTAATTGTTAATCGTACAAGCGCTAAATTAAACTACTCTAAAGTAAATACTGATGAATATATTCAGAGCGACAAAGAAACTATTTAACTTGGCCTAGAAAACACAGCCTAATCAAAAGTATTCACCTCAGCTACTGATTGCCCATTTTCTTAATAAACAAATTAATAGTAGCTGTTTTCTTTTTTGCTTGATGTATACTTTATTCATATATCACTTATTTCTTCTTTGTTAGGAATCATGTAGCTGCATGCAGTCATTCTGGACTTCTAAAAGTATACGATTATGAGAGCAAGTAAGTGTCTATCTGAAGCAGGTAACTTATCTAAAGTTAGTCAGTTTTGACTTTGTTCTACTTTTTCTCTTAATAAAATTTATAAATTATAGTTCAGTATGTTTATTTTTGGTAAATGTTGATACATGACTGATGCAAAAATGTTGAACTGACTGTCAGAGAATTGTTATCATTGCCGATGGTGGTTTCCTGTTCATCATATACAGTTTTAGTATTACATTGCCGTTGTCTAGGCTATATATTGTTTCTGTTTTCAGTGCCTGTTAGAGAGAACTAATGAAAATGAAAACATTTTGTAAGACTTTATTCATTTATTGTGGAATTAAGTGTCTGTTTATGAACTGACCTAAAGAATTATTCCTTTTGGAATAGGCAAATTAATAAGTTTAATTACACTTTCTGTTATAGGTTGGTTATCGCAATGAAAAGTTTTGGCGTAAACAATCCAATTCAAAGCTGTGTATACGATAAAACTGGGCAGTTTATTGGTCAGTTATTTGTATATAAACTACCATAATAATGTGTAACGTATCCTGTTCGATACCTAGCAAACCAAATGTCTAGCCTTTAAGCTTGTTGTAACGATTAAAGTTGACTTAAACAATCTGTCAAAAAAGTGAGGCTTCTTACATCTTCCAGAGTCACTTAACTGTATATGGGATAAAACTGTTGTTATTTAGGACATCATTATGCAACTTTATGGTTTATCGTTTGCTGTTGTGACTATTAAGAAAAATGTGTTCTCCTTCAATATTGCAATGTAACAAAATATGTTGGAATTCCTTTGCATAATAAAGACTATAGTAAAAAGTAATGAGATCAGCCCTTGATAAGATTTGTCATTTGTAACTCCATTGTTAGGTAATATGACGTCATAACTCAAGCTCACCACTTCTTAATTAAGTCTGCCAGTACGGCGTCCAAGATAATTATAAATAAACAGGAAAACTAGAAACAGATCTGTTACGCCTGCACGTAAACACGTCAGCTTGATTTACTTGAACTATTACGAGTTTACCTAGTCAGAAAACGAGAGCGAGGATTGATGATCCGGCGACACGACATGCTACTCGAATCCGATTATCCCAACCCCCATATTGAGTAAAAATAAGAAGACTTGATATGAAGTAGAACCTGTATTCTGCAAGCATCCAGAAAGTACGAGGTCCGAGTCCAGAAGAGAATCAGCATCCCGGACTAGGGATCCGGGACCGAGCCCTGGTCCTGGTCGTGGTCATAAAATGTTACAGATAATGCGTATTTATACATTTTGGTCGAATAGGAGACAGCATCCAATTCTGTGGCATTGACAGTTAAGACGACCATTCGGAAGTAACATTTGAAATGACATTGACAGTCCGGATGACCAATAAGAGACAACATTGAAGTATTTGACTTTGACAGTTAAAACGACCAAAATTTTGACCAATAGAAATCGACCAATAGGATCTGACCAATAATTTTCTTAGGATATTGGATGAATATCCTAACATGATCATTTTGTGCAGATATGAAATATCTAATCTTCACCCGAAAACCATTCATCCCTTTGTAATGCATAACATCGCAGGGAAGTCCATCTACCCCGATTTTTATTTATTTCCTCGTTCACTCTGGATTTGTTTTTATATTTCGTCATGATTATGCCCTACTCCAGAGTCATCGTAAAATAGTCACGTAGTGAAAGCATGTTATATTGAGCAATGTCCTATCCTTATACTAATGCACAAGATTCCCATGCACGAGCTCAGCCGGCAATTGGAGTTGAAAAGAAGTTTTTATTGAACTAACCTACTCTGCACGTATGTGTATTCAGATATTTCGGTA